GCCTGCCAGGGACGGGACCCCGGCCCAGACAGACCCCGCCGGCCTCTGGGGACGTGGCCCCCGCCGCGGGACAAGGGGGGACAGCAGCCCCCGGCGCGCGCTCCGGGCTCGGGGCTTCCTCTGCAAATGCAGCCCTTGGGAATGAAATAGGCAGAGAGACACTTACCATCTCGCCTGATATTCGAGGATCGCAAGGCTTTTATAGATCCGCTCTGGGCAGGGGCAGTGGTGCCCTGACGGCTGCAAAAGTTCGCACAGACGACAGCGTAGAGGAGGAGGAGGAAGTCGAGCAGTTGCATTGGGATCGGCTGGGAACGGGACCGCGTCTCTGCAGAGAAACCGGCTCTTCCCACCGAGGGTGCTTTCTTGCCCCGTTCCTGAACTTTAGTTTGTTGTTGTTGCGGGTTGCTTTTGTGTTTGAGGGAGTTGTATAGAGGGGGGGGGGGGGAAGAAACAACAACAAAACACACACAAAAGAAACCCCAAAACAAAAAAACACCACCACCCGAAACAGCGGTCGCAGCTGCTGAGTTACTCTCCGAGCTGCCTCCAAACTTCCTGCACGCAGAACTTTTCTACCGCGTGTCTGGGGCCGGCCGAACTCGGCAAAGGTGAGAAATCCCCCGCCGGGTTGGCCGCCCCCTCCCTGGCAGGCGGGGGGGCTGCCGCGGCCGCGTTCCCCTGCGGCCGCCCCGCGCTGCTCCGCGCCCGCTGCCGCGCTGCGCCCGCCGCCCGCCCCGCCCCGCAGAAGCCGCCCCGGGCTCTGGAGCGGAGGGAGCACCTCGGGCTCCGCTGCAGGGACCGGAGAAAAGAGGCCGCCCGGGGGAAAAGGGGGCGGCCCGGGGGCAGGGAGGGAGGCGGGCGGCAGTGGCCGACGAGGGGAGGCAGAGAGAGGCAGGGAGCAGCGCCCGCGCCTTCCGTGAGCTGCCGGTCGCGCCGTCTTCAGCCCGAGCAGAAAGTGACAGGAGAGGTGGTGCGACGGAGGACTGTCCCCCGGGCCGGGACCCGATGGGAACCGTGTCCCGCGGGCTTCCCGCCAGCGAACAGGCCACGCACCGAAGCGTCCTGTCACCTTCGGGCCCGCAGTGACCACATAAAGGTTATTGCTTGGGCTGGCATTACTGAAATCGCTGAGTTGCACCAGGGTGGGTGAAGAGACTTGGTGGAATAACCGGTAAAAACACATTGTCTGAAGAAGACTCATTTGCAGTTGTCCCTGGGACAAATAGATGGTTTCTTCTGTCATGCCAAGCAGTGTCCAAAACATTTCATAAAAAGTCATTTCCTACTAATTTACGTCCTCAGTAAATTGTGCTTGATATTAAAAGATTTTACTGCCTGGAAAACATTATGTCTAAAACAAAGGTATGTGAGGATTGTGATCAGACTGCTGTTTTAATACTCTTTTTCCATCCATTAGCTGCAATGAAAATAATCAAATGAAAGCTTACAAAAAACAGTTTTTAACAGTTGTCTGAAAAATTCTTACCTACTCAGTTTACACTTCATACAGTCTTAGCCAGTGTTAACAAATCATAACATGCTGCCAGACCTTTGACATGAAACACCTCACTAGGAGAAGAATGTCAATACGGTGCTGTATGAGGAATATTGGATGAGTCCTGCTACACTTGGAGTGCTGCCTCTGGCTGTGTGAAACATTTTCTCCAAGAGCATGTTAGAATGACAATGGGACCGAAACATCTTGTATGTCTTAAGGAACCAGTAGGGTGCAATTCTGTTATGCATAATTAATGGTTCTTTATCCCTTTCATGTTCCCCAAAACTGACAGCGAACCTAATCCTGCTCCCACGTGGTAGCTAATGGAAAGGCTCCAACAGCGCTTCATTTGTGAGCAGATGTGCTTATATTTTAGGTGCTCATTTCAGGGGGGAAACTGAGCAGAGGGAAGGTGGCCAATCCAATCATCCTAATAGAAGTAGAAAGTCAAGTAGAGGATATGCAGCAAATGAAGACAGGGGGAGCTCTGAAGATGTCTTCTGCTTGTCCAGTCAATGTGTCTGCCTCTTTCCCATCGCTTTACAAGGAACTGGCAGAAAGCATCAATAAGATCCCAGCTACCTAGCTTTCTTCCAAGTGATAGGAAGTATCTCTTCCAAGATAAAAGGATGTACTCAGTACTCTGCCCTCTACCACAACTCCTTTGTGAAGTCTTTCCTTTCTCAGTGCCCTCAGGTCCTCATTTTCTCTCAGACTCGGGTCCCGTAATTGATTCCCCTTTGGCCATTTTAAAATGGTGGATGATGAAGAGAAATAAGAACAGATCGTCTTCCACCCAGAAGGCAGACAAAAGGTTTTTGACAGTGTCTGAGCAGTTACAAAATTCAATCGAGAAAGGGCACCATTTCCTCTTTGTCTACCCAACTTCATCCACATAATTTTTCTCACGTAGAATTCATACATCTTCCCAAGAGCTGGATTGGAAGCTAGAGTTGTATGGTGTCTTTCTGGCCCCATGCCTTCCTGGCTGCACAGGTCCAGCTTTGACTCTCTCCACAACTGTTCGGCTGATACGATCCCTGGCTTGGTACATACTATATACTTAAACTTCTGAAGCTGACCAAAGCACAAAACTGAGTTGTTTCTCAGCACCTTTTTTGTGTGTGTGTGGGGGGGATTGTTTAGGGTTTTTTTGTTGTTGTTTGTTTTGAGTTTTGTTGTTTGTTTTTCTTTTTGTTGGTTTTTTGTGTGTGTGTGTTTTTTTCCCTTTTTTGAGAAGAGTACAGAGTACACACTGCTGTGGAGCATAAGATGAAATTCCTGTTTCTGCAGCAGAGGTACTTGTTGTTTAGAGAACTCTCAAGCAAAACAGCACAGGGCTTCATAAATTAACAGTGATTAAAACAGGCAAACGGATTCAACCACCAATGGCTTTTAAATATACCAAGGGTAGCTATGTACAACTTGTATCTTATGCTCATGGTACTTTTCAGTTCCTCCCTGTGCAAAGCATGGGATGCTGCCATCACAGTTCTAAAGCCAAAAATGTTTTTGTAGCAGAAGGAACCAGTCTTTTTCTCACATTAGGAAACAGCCAGGGATTGTTACTGCAGAGTTCTAAACAGAGGCCTAGCTCTATCAATTATCAGATATTTATTTTAGTCCTAGTATCAAAAAACCCTGTCTTTTTCCATTTGATGTGCAGATGTGCAGAAAGGTTTTTGCGTTAGAGCAGCAAGACTGACGTGCATTGGTAGACCTTTGTAAAGAAGTCTGCGTTTCAATGACTGTTGCTACAGTTTCTGCATTCAGTTTAAAAAACAGTAAACCCACTGCAAAACAGAACAATATCTTTATAATAAGGTGTCATAGAACCTCATGTCAAAGGGTGAGAAGTTTGGATTATGTTCAGGCAGTTTTGTGAGACTATCACCAGATCTTCACTTTCTGGGGAACATTCTAGTACATTGTCTAATCTATATTCTAAAGGATTGTGATAATTTAAAGCATCAGGAGATTTCTATGTGAAGACCTACAGCAAATCATGGTTACTGTATAAAAGGACGCGCTGATGTATAAGTGTGATGACCTAGGTAATTATAAATCTGTCATTCTGGCTGAGATCCTGGTAAAATAATGTAACAGTTGATATGAGACTCAATTAATTCAAATTAAAAAGAAACTAATAATAAGTAATGCTAATCAACCTGGAAAATCTTACCATGCTAACTTGGAAATCTGGTTGACAAAGAGAATAGCTTCAAATTACAGCTTTCATAAGGTATTTGACTCGGTGCTGTACAATTTAAATAATATGAAATTAAAGTCATGCATATTAGGTGTTTTCAAAACTTATTAAATGACAAGTTTAAAAATGTTTACTGAAAGGGGAAACATGATTAAGTGGATTCTTTGTGAGAGAGCCCCACTTGGGCTAATTTTTGTTTCTGCATTGATTTGCATTTCCAACAATGACCTGGGAAAAATGCAGTCATTATTCATGACATTTGCAGATGACAAAACCTTGGGGGAATAATTGGCTGATTTATAGTAAGACTGTTATATGGAGATAGACATTTAGATAATGGGTGGAACTGTAAAGCTGAGCCCTGGAATAACTTATGCTTTAAAGTAACCAATGGCAGAACTACCAGTACCTGTACTATCTATCTCATGTCATTTTAGTCTTCTGAAAGCACCTGATGTAAGCCAGTCACATGGATTCTCATTTTTAATTGAGAGAATGGGATACCCATCAGAGGGAACTCTAGCCCAGCAGTTTTAGGCAGTTGTACCTGTTTGGCATAAGTTGCTTGTTTGTTTGTTCGTTTTTCTGGAAGGTCTAGTTTCTCTCTACTGGCTATGAAGAGAGCATACATTTGTAGTTACTGGGTAAAGTAATTAATCCTGGAAGACATTGGTGCAGGAAAAAATATGGGGGTGATTTATCAAGGAAGTCAATGGACTATAGTCCTCTCTATTATCATTTGTTGACTGGGAGTTGCTCATGTGTCATACAGTTTGTCCATGGAGCATAAATGTGTTGTGTGATTAAGTAGCAAGACCCAAGGTCTTTGTGAATTATCACTGAGGTCCTTGAATATTTGTTTAAAAAGGGGAATATCAATTACAGTAGGGGCATTACCCTTTGTTCTATAATTATTTGACTTCATGCATCACATTCCTGTGAATATAGTCTAAAAAAGGACCTGATAAAGTGAAAAACAGTGAGAGGAAAACCATTGGATAGAGGTTGAGAAACATGCTGTTGAGGTAAAGTGTAAAAATAATGAGTCATTTAGCTTGTCAAGGAGAAAATCAGTGGGTCACAGCTGCCTCCTGGAGGTAGGATATTGATTCTAGAATGCTATTCTGTCTAATGGATTATGACATTTCAAGGAGAAAGTTTGAGTTAGACAAATTAAGATTAGAAATGAAAGGCATACTTTTCAGTATGGAAAGCTGTAGAAGTATCAAAGTTTTTTTTTATTTTTCATCACTGAAAATTTGATAGGCAACATTTGATGCTTTTCTAAAACCAGGCAAGTGGTTTCAAACTGTACTTAGGAACTGATGTAGTCTATTGATCACTTCTTAAAGGTCTGTAAAGGTGACAGAGAAAAGCATGTTCATATGTACTGTGCTACAAGCCACAGATGAAATTTCTAAGTGCTTTTGCAGTTTATTGGAAACTGACAATTAAATAAATGTACCTCTAGTGATTAAGTCAGGGCAGCACTATGATTTCTGTTACATAGGAGGGCAGACAAGTGATGACAATAACCTTATCCCCTCATTTAGAATCTTATGATTTGAGAATGAGAAGAGGTGTGTAGAGTAGGATGGAGAAACATCTCATAAATGCTAAAATGTGCAAGTAAGTGAATGT